TGCAAAATTATGCCTATATCGGGCCATCAAGTGTCGCTCCTGCGCCGCTGTTGAGTAACGTTCTTTGAAATTACCGGAATCTGTGCTGCGCCATCGATTGGCCGATCGGAAATCACTGAGGAATACGTCATCCATAAGCGTCGATATGACAATGGCCTCTGTTGCATGATTATTAATGATTACTTTAATCACCCTCTCGAAGGTCGGGTAGTGCATTGCCTTTTCAATGAGATTTGGAATACAAACAGTCTGCCAGGTGTTAATGTGAAACTGCCGTCCATTCTCAAGGTGCATATACAATACATCCTCAATTGCCATCCCACAAATATAAAATACAAAGGCAAACCATACTAGGATGTCTGTTGAAAATGCATCAGAAAAAATTGGGCGATTATGACAAGTAATGTTGGGTCAGAAATAGTTGAGACTAGCTGGACGTTTGACTGGCAATTTGTAGATTACCTGACAAATTCCAATTTCTCAATAAATATAATTGTTGTGCACATTCCTTTTTAGGGCTTTGCTCTGCCATGAATAAACCCATTCATTTGGACACATTTTTCAACAAAGGTTGACATTGTTTCTGACAGTGTGAATATAGGAGGGCATGGTGAAAATACGTCATTTATTCGGTTTGTAGAAAGCCGACGGTTAAATTTATTCCAATTTACAATAACGCTTACAATAATTTATTTTTACATCAAAAACTTTAAGCGCAAAACGCCAAGATTGGCTGGGCAACTGTAAAATAAATCGCCGTCAATCTATCTTTCTTTAGGCGGTTGGTCAACCGAGTCAAGAATTAGCCACAGACTAAGGAAATATCGTAATGTTAGATAATCTGTTATTAATCTAAGAGAGCAATAACACAAAAACAAAACTCTCTGGCCTTCTACGAGCATAGCATGCATTTATGAGATTTTTACATTAATAGATGTTTCCTTTAAATGAAGGATTCTTGGACTACATGTTCTTTCAAGTGCAAGCTCTAACTCTGGGAATCTTTAACTGGCTTTGACGTTCCGTATCAGGACTCGTAATGTCTTCATTCTGCTTTTTTAAAAATTCGCAAGACGATTGATATTGACGGAATTCAAAATTTTCACGTGCTTTTGTGCAAAACTGTGATTTTAAACTATAAACAACACTATGTTACACATTAATTAAGCTTATTATTCGCGTAGAAACTATCTGAAAACAATATGTAACTTTAACATTGTGCTAATGTAGTACGGTCGTGCTGTATAAATCATTTAGAGAGATATAGGCAGGAACTCGCAATAGACGTTCCCGTGCTCGGACCAAGAGAAAAGCTCGCATTCCCATTCTACAATTATTTTCTCAGTAAATGTCTTCAAGATGTCGGGTTATGAGGATCCAAGAAAAAAGCACGTTGCATCCCGTATTTTCCATACAATCGTTCAAGCTTATGTACTGATTGCATGAGAGGTCTTAAGCCATTGATAAGTGTGTCGCAATTTTTATTGGCCAGTTATAGTAGTGATTTTCACAGTTATTAATATCGACCTACATATTTTATTATTAACACTAACTTTCCGTCGACTGCAAAAAAATACATTTCAACAGTAAAAGGACTCGCTCAAAATTTGCATCATGTTTAAGCCTTCATATTAAAGATAAAGAGAAAAGGAAGAAGATAATTAAAGCGCAGTCAGGGGGAAAAAATAAAGGACCAAATAATACAAATGATACATATGGTGATATTTAAACGCTGCTCACAGAAACTGTGACTTGGTATACGTGTGTACATATATATATTCTCACCCCTCCTTATTTATCCATCTCTTCCCTAGTTAGCGGTTTCCGCTATCTAATCTCGGTAACCATTCAATACTTTTCACATCCTCCCAGCTCCACTAAGCGATTCAGCATCCATAACTTCTGAACTCCTCGACAACAATTTAACAACGACCAGATACAGAAAGACCAAGAATACCATCAACCATCTATGCCATTGATCAGCAAGACGTCGTTGCATTGGATTGTTCCGGTTATTATTGCCAACAACTTGGACATTCCGAATATTCTGGCCATTTACATTTCTATTCACACCAATATTACCATTCCTTGATGCGTCAGATGGTTGCAACTGTCTGATGTTCTGCCGATTATGTAGTTGATGTTGTGTGAGAGCCTGTTTGGTCGTTTTGGATGATGGGGGAGACTTTGCTGAAGACGAAGAAGAGGAAGGATGAAGAGGGTAGAGAACTTCTACTGATATCGCTTCCGGTATGCAAAGTTCAGGAAAAACCTCTGGGGAAAGGGCAAAACAAGGGATAAGAAAATATGAGTAACGGCAAAATGGAATAGAGTGCAAAGACAAAGATTATATACTAAAGTATCAAATATTCAATGTACGCAAAGTTTACCTTTAAACATTTTATTGTTTAGATTGTGTTGATGTGATCGTGAAGCATATATTATTTTATCTGCATCGGTGGTCTTGATGCTGCCTGTAGTGGCCTCGTCACTGCACTGTTGTTATTTAAACCAAAAGAATAATTAATAAAGAAATATGAAAACACATATCAACTGCGTTTAACCTAATGCGACTTTCGCTGTTTATACCATAAAACTAAGCAGTCCATTCAATATAGTGGCAACGCTCCAACCGGGGTTCCAGGAACTTGGATGGAAATCGGACATTGACAGACATAACCTTGCTTCAGGGAGAAATCTTCCTATAAGAAGAATACCACCATATAAAAAGTGAAATTCAGCGTTTGCATAGAAGAAAAGAAAGGTTATTTAAAATAATTACGAATTAAATAGAAATTTAATAAAAAATGTATGTCGAGAGAGCAAAAAGTTTCATACCAGATGGTGTTGTCATTCGAATGGAAGGTGGTTTGAACGGATACTCTGATGGAAAGACAATAACACCTGGATAAAAAAAAATCGATTAAAACGTGATACTGAATTGTGTTCAATTATAAGTAAAAAGGCGTTGCACTTGCCGTGATATTCTCCGTTATAATAAGGCGTCTCGGGTGGGCCACGGATCACATAATGCCTGCCGAAATCAAAGATAGTCAGAAAACATGTTATTCGTGAAATGTATTCTTTTTTCCACTAAATTATTAACATGGTGTCTATAATACAATAGACGTGTATTACTTCATGAAGCCTATTCTGTATGTCTTCATCTTAAATACATTCTCTAACAATACAATCATCCCAACAAGGTCCATATATTACTTTTCTCGCGCTCTCGTCTACAATCTTTTCAATTCCATCATACATAAATCTATTCAATTCCAATTCCCCCCACCTTCAACCAAGTATGGTTATCGTTCGACTTGAGACCAGTAGACCCGGGAGATGGATACTCAATAATCTCGAGACTTACCATTCTAGAATATTGTTTTCCAAAGGCTTTGCCAATAGGTACGGCGGTGGATTCTAAAAAAAGCAAAGTTGACTAGTCGTTAGAACCATAATCTTCATTGCGCCTTCGCACTTCTGTTCCATACCGTTATTCGACTTGATCTCGCCAACAAACCTTCTGAAATGCAGCATACTCTTTCGTAAGTCGCCTAGTAGCAGCTTTGGTAGCCATGTGAAGTAATAACGGCCGGAGAGATGTAATAATACAATACTATTGTGTTGATTTTCCAAAGCGGTAAATATTATCACACTATTATTCACCACACAGGGTTGCTTTGTACGGGAAAAATAAATGCTATCCAACCAGCGACAGCAAACGTAACATAAACCTGCCAGAAAAAAAGTATTGTATTAGGAGAGAGAGTATATATATAATGTAGATACGATATAAGAGGGCGAGGGAGCGAAACGTAAAAACTGTATGTAGGTACGAAAAGAGTAGAGAATGATGGGCTGGGTTCAGGGCTGTTTGGGGAATTGGTATACAGATTCACATGACTCTGATGTTGTGGCAAAATGAAAAATGAAAATTGATCGTGATGCATACATAGTATCTGTTCTTTAGAGTTTCCCTATTCGATAAACGCCGACTTGTATACCAGAAAGAAAGCCAGAAAGGTCTTTTTAAGAATGCCTTGACCTCTTTCTTTTCTTTCTTGGATCATAGTTATCCAAGTCGAATTCCAAGTTTTGCTTCTATTACTATAAACAGTAACCTCAATATATGGAGATCAGCCATCAAGCAGATCATAATTGCTTTTTCTTTGTTCTGTTAGAATTTATTTTTAGCAATTGCTCGTCGCTTCAACAATCTCGTGATTTGTTAATAAGGTGAGCTGCTCACACGTTACTGGGATTAATTTTTACGGCAAAACCGAAAAAAGGCGGGACAGAAATCAAAGTTAAAATTCCTATAGAATAAATGTCATTTCGTTGCACCACTTCTTCGCTACCTGTCTTTCGTTGCGATGTTTTTGAGATATCATCGAAAGTCAGATTTTGTTGCACCTGTCGGGCATAATGGTGGAGGTGTGTAGAACAGGGAAAAAGAATTAGAGATGCACGTTTGTGTCCAGACTAACAAATGAAACGGTATGCGCACTTTATTTTTTGCACTATTATCATCCGGACAGTCCTGTCGTAATTACTCCAGTCTTCCCTCTGCTCCGATCGTTTGCTCTCGCTTCATCCTCTCGTCCTGCACTATAAATCCGCAATTAATCTCATTTGGAGTTTCGCTTCGCTCTCGATGCTATCTGTACAATCAGAATATTGAATTTTTTTACCTTCTTCCTGTTATTTTCCAACATTCTCTCCCTCCACCCACGCATAATTCTACTTTGTGTATCTGCACGTGCGGATGGCGGCTGTGCTGTTTCATCAAAGGCAGAGAACGAGGGCGAAGGAAGTCGCGCAGGTAAAAGGGCTGCAAATATAAGACTGTCGCCAGGAGACGACTATGCGAAAAGCAGCGAAAAAAGCAAAAGTATAACGAATTAGAGAGTTGTTGTAAATATCCACGTTATCACATATGTTAGTAGGTTGAAAGACGTAAATTTACAAGGTGTGAATTATCATTTGATTGGCTAAATTCGACTGTATGCTAAATTCTCTAAACATAGATTTGCCGTTATTACCTGTTCGTCCCGAGTTCAGATGATTGGGGAGAGGGTTGAGATGTGAAGGAGACGAAGAAGGCAATGTAGGCAGGTTTGTTGGTTCTTGCTTTAGAGTTGGGACATGTTAATTGATTAGCTGAGGCACAGATTTTCGCGTCCGTTATTATTACGGTAACGTCTAACTCAATTCTTACGTGCGTATCAGAATACCTTTCGTTTACGATTGCCTTTGATATTCTATGTAATAAATAAGCGCTTAGATACTATTACTAATTAATATAATGGAGCATGTTTATTATACCTTGCGAAGGGTATTCTCTTCAGTTCTTCCCTGGCATTACTATATTTGGCATATTTCTACAATATGTATGATTATTTGACGCGCATTGAGCACGCGTATATCGATACTGGTTGTGTACATATCAAACTCTGTCACTCACCAAGTCGTTTACTTTTTTTTTTTAATAATTCAAGTATTTTCCAAGAATAAAGAAGCTCTAATCGCTTGCTCGAAACCAGTATTGTCTGAGTTATTGGTGTTTTTTTTCAAAAAAAAGTAATGCGATGTGATCTCCTCAACTACCAACTCTCCCTTCAAAGCATTCAATTAAAATATCAACATTGTATTATTAATTTTGTCAACCATTTCCTGAGTGAGTGTTTATCCAATCGAGCCGGTTGTTCCTCCAATTGAGCCATATTTGAGTGCTTCTTTTCGTCCCCTTAAACGCGAATGTTATTGGTCATTGGCCCCGCGCTCGTTAATTCTCTTAATGATTCGCATTATCAACATATCACGGGACACGCATATCCCATAACATTCCTCAACTGAATACAACCAGAGGAAAATCTGTCCCCGTTTATAATAATTCGTCACAATTGTTCCCATGGATGGCATTCAGGTAGTACATAAACCAACTAACTGAATCGTGCCTGTGTTGGAGCATAGAGCGAAAATGTGAAATCCTAATTGGGTCTAATAGACTCTTGTTATTAGAGATATGATATTGGCACCTTACTGTTTTCACGACAGAAAAGGAATATGTAATTTTGAAGAGAGCAAATTTTTATTCCAAAAATTTATCGTTCATTTATAATACGAGCTTTGCTCGAGTGTTAATTCCGAAAATCGGGAGGAAACCTTTTTTCTTTAAAAACCAAAAAACAAACGAAAATATAACCAAAATTTACACTCACTTTAGAGAGTGAGCTTTGAAAGTAGATAATACACGTACGATCTTACTAATGCAAATTGATATTAGTGGTATTGCGCTTTTTTGCGAAAATGTAATGATATAATAATGATAATAATAAAAAATAATAATAATGACGTGCGAATAATTTATGCTTTATACAGACAGCTATTTACAAGGTATCGTCTTTCTATATTTCAGTAAACCGTTTTCCCGCTTGCCGTTAAAATACATTTCTCATCCAGAGTGTGCCATCCATTTGAGCCATTTCGTCCCATTGTCTCCTTCAAAAATCTCATGTTGTCCCTTTCCCCCACACGTCTCCAAGCAAATCCTCAAATCCTCCTCCGTCTACTGAAACAATGTCAACTTTTAATATTGGCTGCGTGCCAGGTGATGATTGAGTGTGATGGACTGTAGAGTTCGGTTGAGTTGATGAAGAGGGTATTGGAGCAGAGCGAGATGAAGTTGAGGTATTAGTATTGGAAGACAAAAATGGTGATGCAGTATTGGATTGGGGGACAGAATGCTGTGATGAAAATTCGAGCGGGGAGGAAATTTGTTGAGACTGTGTAATGGACGTAGGCGTGATTTTGGTGTTTGAAAATGATGGGTTGGAGTATCGTGTGGACGTAGAAAGTGTTGGTGTGAAATTAAGCTCATTATTAGCACCACCATTGGCCCATTCCCCTTTGCCTTTCGACCCTAAACTCGCAGTACTTCCACCATTTGTATTTCGTCCTTTGAAAAACCTTCTTTTAGTACTCGTCGTACTTGTCGTACTTATCGTACTATGTGTGCTATGATTATCTGACACCACCGGGGTCAGAGAGTTGCTGCTGTGAGATGAAGGCAAACCCGGAGAGGAGGTCAAGGAGGCGACGGAATTTATGGCGCTGTTTGTCATTACCAGAGTATCCGACTGAACATCCGCTGAAGTGCCAACATGAAGTGGTAACGACAGGGATGCCGGTATGGACGCGTGAGCCAGCGAGGCAATTGTTGTTGTGGATTGAGAATGAGCGTTTGGATCTTGGTTCACAGAGGTGACAGTATTATTACTGTTCGTAAGACTGTTGTTGATATGAACACTATGAGTACTATTGTTAGTGTTAATATTAACATAGCCATTAACACTCCCATTCGATCCTGGATGATTATTGTTGTTATTGTTATTATGCCCATTACCGCTTGCTGTTTTACTCTTAAAGAAACCTTTCCTTGAAGATAGCTTCGCTACAGATCCACCATAAGTTGTATCACTAAGGCTTCCGCTTTGGAAATTTGCATCATGCGATGCTGTCTTTGTCATATGTACCGCAACTAATTTTGCGGAACTTGTACTGTTTGTTGGAGTAGGGGGTGGTATAGTAGTTGTAGAATTATGTTGGAGCGCGGTGGACGAAGGAGAGGCTTGAGAAACGGACGAATTAGCCAGTTGGTTTGGATATTGATTTGCTACCGTAACAGATGAACTGGGTGTTTTATTTCGAAACAATGCACCAGCCCATTGTTTCGCCCATCCTATGCGTTGTCGGACAGCCCTATTGAATCAAGTCATGTTAGAACTCGGGAATGGCGGTGGCGATCATGTCGATACGCGATGTACTAGTAACTTTCTCTTCCATAAACTAACTCACCTTTTAGCCATCGTAACGTTGACTTTACCCGAATTCTTCATGAGGAAAAGCATCACGCAATTGCTCAAAAATAGCAACACGAAAAACAAGTCCCAAGAGCATAAGCGAATTATGAGAAGGTAAATCGATAAAATGAATAGCACACGCCGGCGTTGTCGGACGAAAGAAACCTCGCGTAACACTGAATGAAATTAAAAAAGAATGAATGACTTGTCTATATAAAGCGTGTTTGCAACATCCCTTTCTCCTTCTCACTCACAAGGTGGTCATATAAGGACTAAACCACCCATATCTATTCTCCTAGTAACGGTCTTCCCCTTTCACAATTTCCCTCCGTTTCATTTCTTTTGTTCTCACACATACCAGTCAGAGAAACTTTTGTATTAGGCTCAATTTCTGGATACGTCAATAAAGCGATGAAATGCAGGGGAATATTTAAAAGTCCCGGATCTTTATTTCCCTGATGTGCAACGTTATTCCTCCGGATTTGTTTTTCAACAACCGGTCCTTCGACCCATTGCATTAAGGAATCCATGAGGTTTGTAAGAAAGGGCCAGTAGTCTTCTATCGAAGAAGTAATTGCGATGTTGGATGCTGCATCAGTGGGTGAAAGGGTCGGACTGCTTTTGCGCTTATCACGACGGGACTTGGCGAGTGATTTATCAACATGGTTGTCACGACCCTCGCCGCTAGACGAGTTATCCTCATCGAACTCGCTCACGTCGCTAATCCGTGCCATATCTTCTACTTCATTGTGGCATAAACCATCTTCTACGGGAGCGGAACTACGCTTTTGTGGAGACATATCAGACGACGAAGATGCAATACCATCTTTCGTGACTTGGTCGGCTTCGACAATATCAAAAGCTTCAACAGACGAGGCACCGTCCTCGTTGGAATCGGATGAATCTGATGCATAGCCGTCTTCGTCTAGGTTATCAAGCTAGAACAACAACAACAAGAAGAAGAAGAACAACAACATAAGTATACCTACATTCATTATGATTGTAGCATTGACTGCCAACTTTTGTACTATATCCCGTGTTTTTAATGTGAACGTTATTCATACGTCTTTTTCTAAAATCTCATTCTTCTAACGTGCAACACATACGTTATTCTTCTCAATCCAAGCCCTGACTTGCTTCAGTATCTTTTTCGAGGTCTTTTTCCCCTCAATTTCGGAAATAACCTCATCATGAAGTATTGCAAATGATTCCTGAGCCTGATTATAGTCATCACTATGGGCGACTTATGATTATATTGATGAGATAAGGAAAATAATTGATATACATGCGTTAGACGAATGGTTGGGCCGTGCGTCCGGAAAGGCATTAAAAGCGATCAAGAGAGAGTTCCACTAGACTTGACAAACAACAGCCGAGAGACATGTACTACGTGGGTCATCAACCCAAAATGCCGTGTCGTGGTTCTGTCGACACATTGATTGTCAATTGAGATTATTAATGCGACCTCTGTACTGTTACATTGTCAAGCTTAGCCGTAATTTTATCTCTTCTTGAATATTATAACGATTTGCTTTGCACAGTAAATTACTTCACCCGGCCTGAGACATTTGCTTCGCATAAACCACAATCTCTCAAACCTACCTCTGTAATGTGGAAACCGCCTTGTAATGATTCTATATACAGGCACGTGTCTTCTCTTCCCATTTCCCTCGGATTGGTTTTGTCCCCGTTGTTGGAGCCAGAAGTAAGGTGAGTCTTTTAGGGTTTTCCAGTTTGACCGGCCCAGACTACCAACTAAGCGCGGCGCCACGAACATTGGGAAGCGAGTAAACGGCGCCTAAGGAGGGGAAGGGAGTTGAGGAGTCTGATGTGAAGACTATGAGGCAGAGTGTATACAGAATGAGATTTACAACTCCGTATAGTCAGAAAGCCTATTTTATCTAAATTGTATCCCCGTTTGTGCTTCTGATTTCTGCGATTTGCTCTGATTGAATTGGCTATGATATGCAGTGTTCGGCAATGATCAAACAGCACGTTTATTTATTATTATATATTATAGTCGGACGGGGGACGTGTTAAAGTGGGGGGGGGCGGATTGATCAATTGAGTTGAAAAAAAAAGAAATCAAAAAGGGGTTGGATGTACGATAATATGTAGATTTCACCATCAATCTTGTTTCCCCGGGACACATTGATCCGCGGGATGATAATAATAAGAATTTTTATAGGGTTTTTTTACTAATTTTGGGACGCAATGTGGCTTGATGAACCAATAAACGAATAGTTTTACATACTCGAAAGCTGATTGTGTTACATCAATGCACATGTTCTGACGCATATGTAAAGATGCGACTAAACACGGTAATTTACTGTACAGGAAAACTACAAGTTCCGAGTGAATGAATGCTTGTAATCTATTTTTCGAAAACAAGTCATGTTATCCGAACAGTATGAGTAAACCAGCTATTGACTTAATTGGATCTCGTCGTTGCAGTCCAGGTCGTTACAGTGTTAGAGTACAATACATGTTTTGTAAAATAAACAGGTGAATAAGTTGATAGGCTTTGCTATTGATGTCAATTCTAATGGTTGGGCTTCTATTGACGCATAACTAGTTTATATCCAACTGGATATAGAGGATGTGGATGTGACTCTGAATGAGTTTATGATAATAGTATTATTTAGCATTGATTGACTCATCCAATTCCCACAAATATTGACCAATGAAATTCTAGTGGTTATTTACGGTTTGTTGAGAAAACTGTTCACTAGCGGATTACAGTTGTGAGAACAGCAAATGAATAAATTCCTTGGGAAATAGCAAATAACTATTTAGAAGTGTTCAGTTTGAAGAGACATCTTGATAAGGAAACCGCGGATAAATGTAAGTTGGAAAACGAGATACACTATTAACTTGCAAGTTTTAATCGTTTGTAGCACTCCCAACTGTGGGTAAATTCAGAAAAAAAAGTTCTGGCCCCGTACCCGTAGCAAAATTCAGCCCGATTCAAAATCAGGCATGGTCCATTTCGTGCCGGATTGCGCTACAGCAAGAAACAAAATATGGTTAGACTGAATCGATGAGCAAACTATCTTCGTCGGCAATGGTGACATTAAACGTCATGACTACTTCGCCTGGTTCATGACTTCTCTCAACAAAGCCATCCATACTCGTAATGGCTTCGTACATAATATAATGTAAAAATTTGGTATATACTTGATCGTTTATACAATAAATGACCAAAAGTAGCAGATGATCGGCAGATTGCGTTTTATTATGTGACATAATTGAGAGAATGATATGGCTGAAAGTTAACTAATTTGGTTATAACATTTTGATTCATATGATAACGTGGGGCATCTGCAACAAAACCAAAGTGAACATTTGACTAAAAATGGTCCGATGTTGAGTGATTGATGTCATTTGGAATGCCGTGTGTCATAGTCAGATAGACAATCGTACATTTTATATGGGGCATGCTGCAACAAAACCAGACAAAGTGAACATTTGATTATGTGACATAAATGAGAGGCTGATGATGATGTGGCTGTAAAATTGACCAATGTGACTGATGACATTCTGAAAAGTAATAATGGTGCTCATTCATAACTTATAGACTTGTTGATTTTAATGTTCCCTTTATCATACCAGAATGTGAGGAATATAAACCATAACAGGAGCAATATAGGATTATCCCTATATAAAAATAAAGTATATGAAGCTAATTTACATTAAATCCACTATGGAACCCAAGAATTACAGCACCATTAGAAGTATTTTAAAAAAGGAACAATTACTTCCTTAATTTCAATCAAGATCATTTTTTAGTCTCTTTAACTTCAATTTGAGCAACTTGACCATTCTGTTGCTCTTTTAAGTGCTGGTTTTCTTCCTTTAACTTAGTGACTTCAGCTTCTAATTCTTTGATTCTCTTTATTTTCTCATCACCTCATTCTTTGGATTTCTCATGAAATTTAGCTACTTCTTCTCTTTCAATATTTAATTCTTCTTTGGTGGTGGATAATTCTTTTTCTAGTTCTCTAGTTTTTTTTTTCCAAACAATAACTAAAAGATTGAGAAATTAACTCGCTTTTGGTGGGTGTGGTTGCCTTTTTCTCTATTTTGTGACAATAACACA